AAAAAAAAAGACTCTTATGGATTCAATTAACTAGAAGTTAAAAGGTAGGGCAAGCTCTGTGGTGGTGGCTTTAGAACTGCACTGTCTAGTATGGTTACCACCAGCCACATGTGGCTATTGAACACTGGAAATTTGAGATATGCTGTAAGTATACAGTATTCACTAGATTTCAGAGACTTTATACAAAAAAAAATTGTGAAGTATCTTAATTTTATATCAATTATGGTCGAAAATTTCATATTTTCAACAATTGGTTTAAATAAACTATTATTTAAATTAGTTTTCCCTGTTTCTTTTATTTTTTTTTAATGTGGCTATAAGAAAATTTAAAATTACCCATGTAGTTCACATTATATTTCTACTGCACTGCTTTAGAGCAGTTCCCACCCACCCCTCCCTCCCACCTCCCCCCAGGAGATAGTTGGCAACGTCTGGAGACATTTTTGATTGTCATGACTGGAGTTGGGGGTGCTACTGGCACCTATCAGATAGAGGCCAGGGATGCTGTGGACATCCTAAACTGCACAGGACAGACCCCACAACAATGTAAATAGTGCCAAAGCTGAAAAGCCCTGACACAGAGGGTTCTCTCTGCTGTGGACACTATTGGCTTCCTTTTAAGGCTGGTTCCCCTCATGGTGGAAAAATGCTGCCTATAGCTGGCATCCTTGTCTTTGAGCAGAGAGAGAAAGACTGGCTGCCCTTTGCTCTCTCTGAAGACCAAAGAACTTTCTCCCCTAGCTTGACTCAATATTTCAGAGACTTATTTCTGTGATCAGCAGATAAAGAACTGTTTTCACTAACAAATTATATAATAGAAGGTATACTTCTGTTGTTATTCTTTGAAATAGATCTGGTATTGGAACTTAATTGTTAGAAAGAGTGATGACTATCCGCAAGAAACATGTAGATCTTGTGCAGTTACTTCACCAGACTGCTTTAAGTCTTTCTTAATATTTTCCATTATCAAATAAGGATATGTTCTTTTCCAACACTGCGCTGGCAAAACAGAGTGTTCTCATTAGCTGATGTTTAAACAATTAATTTTATTTCTCCCCAAACCGTGTATCCAAATATCTATTTGCTTGGTGATAGGAACAAACAATTTTTCTGGTTATGATTTATTCTTCAGATGAGATTCAGTAAACCGTACATGGTGTTTTTAATTAAATTGATTTTCAGAAAATGCAATAGAAACAGCGAGCACAACAGGAGAGAGGACAAACAAAGATAGAAGTTCTCCATTTTTAGCCAAATCAATATTCAATCACTTTGGTGCTCAGAAAAGTACATTCCTACAAATAGGGAAAATAACAGGAGGCTTATTTTCTAGAGGGGAAAAAAAAACAAAAACAAGTGCTTTTAATCTTTTTCTTTGCAGAAGAGGACTTGAGATTTTGAAAACAGAAAGGCAAATGTGTCTTGTCTGATCAGTGATCAGACAACAGGTTAAAGCATCATTCAGGACACTCCTGCTCACTCGTTTGACAGACATCCACTTTAGTTTACTTTTTTTTATTTTTATTTTTTTTAGAAGTTTAAAAATAAAATTTATTTATTTATTTATTCATTTTTTCGTTAAATTTTTATTTTGTCAATATACACTGTATATGATTATTATGGCCCATCACCGAC